TCCTACACCATGGACAGCAAGAGCAAGTTCCTGCATCCTGGCTGCATCGATGGGTTTGTCGCTTGTTTTTTTGGTTGGTGTTGTTGTGGTTGTTGTCGTTGTGGTGGTGGTGGTGGTGGTGGTGTTTTTGTTTCTTGTTTTGTTGGTTGTGGTTGTTCTTTCTACTTGCTTTTGTGCCTGCTTTTTCTTTGGCGGTGGGTCGCTGGGTTGAGGTCCCTTCTGATGAAGGCCCAACTTCGGCGGTGCCAGATGACGGTGACAGATCACCTACATGTAGCAGAGCTCAGCAGGGTATGTTGCCTCCCAGTAGCCCAGTTGCAACGCCTTGCAGCAAAAGAGCAAGGACAGTTGAGCCTGGCGAAGGTGCGGAGCAACCGAATCCTACACCGCCAAAATCCCTGCGAATTGGCTTCGGAGGTGTGACGTCCAAAGCGGCTCAGTGCAAAAATGATGCATGCGGAGCACCTCGTACCAAAGACTTCAAGAATGCCCTCTGTCCCGATTGCGAATATGGCTTCAGGCGGCCTGGGCGATCCCGTGCTGTTAGCACATGGACCGAGGAGATGAAGCGCCAAGTAGCAGATGAATCGAAGGCTCGCAGAGACACAAGCAGCTCGAACGCAAAGTATAATAGCTAACCATGTAATTATATTGTGGATCTGTTCGTGTTTTTTCTTTCATAGAATGCATGTCAGGATTGGCTGACAAGATGACGAGACCTGCTGAACGTATTTTGTACGAACAGCAGTTGGAAATCCTCAAGGAACTCCGAAAGAGGAGTGAGTGACTGTAGTCCCGCTTGAAACTTTGCAGCTCCGGGTTTCTTTTCGGCGACACACAAACTTGTGTGCGCAAGGGTTTAGCCTGCGAGGCAGGCATAACTGCAAAGCTGACAAGCAGCACGAGGGGAAACAATAGTGATAGCGCGCAGGTCAGAATCGGTCCATTATATGCACATGGCCATCGTATTTCGTGCATTTCACAGAGACTTGGAATGCGGCAGCTCCACGTGCAGCCTCGCGCTTTTGCCAGGCTTTTTTGGAGTACCTCAACAAGCACACGGCAAATTTTCGAGCAGAGTTCCCGGCCAGGAGCAGAAACAAGTTGATTTTTGACCTCCACGCCAAGGAGGCTAGATATGAGCATGAGTTGAAATGGATGCACAAGGTATGTCGATCCTATGAGTTCCATTCAGAATCTGCTGAACGTCAAAATGAAGCTTGCAAGCAGCAGATTGCTACTTTGAAAGAAAAAGAGATTCTCTTATGGTTAGATTGGAAGCAGAACTTGACGCTGCCACTGGCAGCAGTACAAACAAATGAGCAGTTCTGGGCACACTCCAGGAAAGAAGTCAGCTGCCTTGGTTGTGTTGCCTATGTGGGCCGCACGGGCGCAGAGCCAAAGAGAATCTGCCTTGTTTATCTTAGTGAAATCATCGAGCACACTTGTTTGGCAGCATGCTTGCAAATCGACAAAATGCTTCAGTCTCTGGGCGGCCTTTCCAAGTACAACTCTGTGAAGCTATGGTTCGATTGCGGACCTCATTACCGGACCTTGGACTTGGCCGCGCATATTGCAGAGAAGCACGTGCGACCACAAAATCGAAACAATTTGATTCTTTCCATCAATTATTTTACTGAGAAACACGGAAAAGGACAAGTAGACAGTCTTTTCAGCTGTTGCAACCGCTGGATTAAGTCTAGCCTGATGAAGCCAGATACTCTCCTGATGAGCGTTGAACAACTCAGGGATGCTTTTGTCGCTGGAGCTGCGCACGACATGAAGCAATCTCCGCCAGACAAAGGCGGCACCAAATACATCATTGCTTTCTGGGACAGCCAAGCCAAGCCGGCGACCTACTTCAAAGGAAGCTCCGAAACCTTGCAAATCAAAAAAACATATAGCATTGAAATGCAGCATTTTGGCAGCAACAATGCTCGACTGCTTCGCTTCCGCAACATGTTCTTCAGCGATTGCGGGCGTGCAAAGAGTGAAGTCTTCTATTTGGATGTTGAGACAGTCAACATCCCTGCTGATGAGAGAAGCTGGCGGAAAGGTTTTTTTGGAAACACACGATGGCAAAAAGCTTTCCCTGATCCGAACATACGAAACACGATGATTTCCAGAATGACTGCCTTGGAAGGACATGCTGCTGAGGAAGTTGTGCGTTCAACTTTGTTTGAACGTCGGCTGAGCCGCTATTTGCAGCAGCTGCAGCAATCCAAAGAGAAACGGCAGAGGCAAAGAGATGCCGTGAGAAGCAATTCATCATCCAGCTCATCCTCTGAAGACACTGAGAGCTCATCGTCAGACGAATGAATAAAAAGAGCGCAGAAGTGCCGCGCTAGTGTGTTTTGCACGAAATCTTGACATGATCTATGTTTTCTGATCAGTTTGCACTTTATCCACAAACCATTACGCCAAACAGCGGGCCCGCATCTAAATGAGTCTTTAGCATCGTTTCTGGGAACAAACATTTGGACCACACGCCATATAACATAACAAGGTTGGTAGAAGACATGTGAACGATCAATTTGTGCGTCTTGACTTTTTTGGGACATTTTGGGACAAAGCAAACTTTCACACGACGGCACTTTCATACCAGGACCATCCTGTCTGGGTGTCCTGGCGTTCGACTACCCTACCCTACGTAAACATGTCTCCAGACACGGATAGGAAGTGAGGGGCCTACTTTCATTAAATTCGTCTTGGAGAGTGTGCTTTGGAACCGTAGTCATTGGGAGGTATACCTCAGGTTTTTCTAGACCAGATCGTTGGTGCTATACTCTCCCTGTCATCGCTTGGCTTGAGAAACCAAGGAACCCCTTTTCGGAAGGACCGAGGAATGGGCTCGGATCCGCGGAGACAGCGAGGTACCTGATTGGGAGACGGCACAGAGATCTATGAGGTGCGGAGGTTGGATGATGGATGGGGCAGGGACATGGGATTTTGATGGATTTGGGATGTTGGATCTAACAGCCTGGATGATAGATGTTGGATGGGATGGCAGATAACTTATGAAGTGGCTGTGAGTTCTGACAGTCGTTTGTGAGTCGCATAACTGTGACGATGTGTGGTTTCAACCCGAGGCTACTCAAAAGTCACTGAAATCTTTCTGAGTTAGGTTAAATCCCAGATTCGCCAGAAGGTTGGTTTTGGAAGGCCCTTTTAACTTGATCACCCTGTCTCATCCCGTCTCTACTGCGTGATTTGCATGGTGGACTGTCTTGGAGGTGTTGAGTCACCAAGAAAATATGTGTGTTTTCTGTTTCGTTTGAGATTGTAAATACACGCGGCAGAGGCTGCAGCACGAAGCCGTTCACAGACATTGCATCAGAAATCTGATTGGGGCGAGATTTACCACTGCATTCATGTCGCCGTATGTTGCCTTGCCCTATAGATCTCGTTGTGGAACACCTTGGACATCAGGGGCTCCAGGTTCAGATGTTCTGTGCATTACAAAAGATATAGGTTGACCACAGTGTGATGTGAGCCGTAGCCATCTTGGCTCAATAACTCAGTGCTTGGCAAGTCCAGCACCGCTTACTCCAAAGAATTCATGGTGTCCTTGCCTTTTTGTGGACATCAAGCTGCAGTGTTTGACTTGATTGAAACAGCGATTGCTTTGCACACAAATGGGCCCATTTGCACACATATATAGATGTTTTTTTTCATACTTGGGTCTTGTGCAAACCAACCGTCCATTACTTGAAATGATGGATCAGCTGACGAAAAGTTAGGACTTCTTAGTGGAAAACCCCAATCAAAACATCAGCTCGATCCCAGAACTTCTCCAGCTCACCTCCGAACTACTTTTAAAGATTATCCATTGAACTCGTTCTTCAAAGTGACCTTGTATACTGGCCCATCAGATGGTTATCCGGAGACGGATTAAAGGCAGGGTCGGGCATGGCCGGGCTTGCCATCGGGTGGCTGTGATCCAAGAACTTGGGCAAGTTCAAGAAAATTAGAACATTCATTTGGACTGAGGGGCTTGCAGTGTGATGTTTGCATATATATAACTTAAACAACATATCATGACACTTGCTTGTTGTTTCCAGGTGTGTCACTCATTGCCCCCAAATAGTCAGCCAAGAAGGCATCCTTTCTTGTCGGTGTGTCGCTTCTTTGGCCAGGTATGATCATCCCACACCTTCAAACCTCAGGAGAGCAGCCTGCTCAGCAATGGCAGGACCCAGCAGCAGGACCGGGCGAAGTTCGAACCTCGGTAAGGGACGCAGATCGAATGTTGATGTTGTTGTTGTTGTTGTTGTTGTTGTTGTTGTTGGTAGAGACAAAATAGCTGTCCAACATAGTTGTCACGTGTTGCAAGTCAGGGATTTCAAAGGGGCACTGTTAGGGATAGGGTCGAAGGTTTGGAGAGATGTTAGTAGCTGGACTTCTTGTCGTTGTGGTACTCAAGTCTTGGTTGGTCTGTTTCTTGCTTTTGGATGTCTTTTGGGGTGTTTTTCTGGGGGGCGGAAAATAAACAGCGGGGCTGCAGATTTTGTCTCTAGGATGTGGTAGATGTTCTAAGTATAAGTTTTACAGAGGCTTAGCTGACCGGTTACTACTACTACTACTACTACTACTACTACTACTACTACTACTACTACTACGACGACTACGACTACGACAACGACAACGACAACGACAACGACAACGACGTCGACTACTATACTAGTACCAGTACCACTAGTACTAGCACTAGTCACTAGTACAAACGCTACCACTGCTGGCAAAAACCAATGACGGGGCTGCAGATTTTGTTTCCACCCCCTTGTAGAGACGAAGGAACCAGATATGTTGTAACGGGGCTGCAGTTTTGGTTTGTACCGTTGTTGTTGTTGTTGTTGGTCACGAAGATCGGAGGGTGCTCTTCTGGAGAAGGGCGCGCCGTTTCTCGTGAAGCACCTCGTCCGACTCGTTGAGGGCGGGCGGTCCACTTCTGTACCTTCATCCAACTCAGAAACCCCAGGTTTGAGAGAAGTGCTGGTCTGAACGCAATTTTCCCAGAAACACCAGATATCGAGAGGACAAGTGGAATGACCGCGACTTCAGGGCCGGTTGTCGCGGTCGGTATATTGTTTCGAAAAGGCACGAGTTGGATTCCCTGTGTTTGCTTCGACCCCACGGGTCGATGTGACCTGTGTTCGATCATATGTCGACCTGTCGATTGGTGCGGGTGAACCGTTGCTGCGACCTCGCAGCGTACGCACGTGGTTCTTGATTGATTTAGGTGGCAGCAGAACCTCAAGTTGAGAAGGTCAACATGGGGGCAACATGTTCCATCAGCCGGGTTTGGACCTGTGTAAGCACCCCCAAATGGCCGGGCATGTGACTGTCACATGACTCTTGCATGCAGGAACCTTGCATGCAGTTGAACAACACTGTACTCGCATGTACTCGCCCTATGTCTGGGATCTGTCCCATCATGCCCCATCACGTCCCACTGTGTTTGCGAGCCAGTTCCTTTGGACATCACGCCGTTTGGGGATCGCACGGCACACGGACGGAGCTTCCCCTGCCCATCTACGAGGAGCTCGCTCGGAGTTGCTGACCTTTCCGCCACGCCAGCGGTTGCTGAATTTCCGAAGTTCCTTGGGCTGTGTGGTTGCTTTCGGCCAGGATACAACCCCAAGTCCATGCCACGTGTTTAAAGTTTATAGGCAAAGGTGCCAATTAGGTTGTACTAGAGGACTGACTGCGATCTGTACATTTGCATGTGAACCACTTGCATTGACGCACCCATGTTCAGTTGCATTGACTGTAGCATGATGTAGCAGGGGAGTCTTTGTTCGACACAGGGGAAGGTCTGGACCGGACATGGAAGTCCGGAACTTTATGACTTCGAGATACTTTAAACATTGACAGTCTTGCCCTCTTCCATGTTTGTTCCCTCAAAACACCCCGAAATTTGTTTTTTTTTTTTTTTCCGAAGGGATGGCTCCACTGGCTCCGCTCTCATCTCTCAAGTTCATGCGCCAGCAACTGTTGGCTCATGCGCCAGCTCTACCGCCTTTGGCCCACCGTGTGCGTGGCGCTCGCCCCTGGCCTTGCCAGCGCCTCGGTCAGCACGTCCTGCGCCGCGAGTGCCATGGACGTGGTCGTGGTGGGCGGTGGTCTCGCAGGGCTGTGTGCCACGATCGAGGCGACACGAGATGACCCGGATGACGGTGGGACAGGGCAGATGACACGGACTTCTTTTGACAAAAGTCTTGCTGGAACCTGACCCTGCAGCAACAAGTGCTGATTTGGGCTTAATTGGGCAACAATTGGTCCAATGGACTTTGTTGGAGTTCTCAGGCTTTGTTTTGCTAGGGAAGGCAGACGGTCACATCTTGCATCAGTTTCCTATTTGCAGTTCTTTGGGAGGATGCTTGTTGCCGGTTGGGGTCGCCTGAACGAAGCAAGCGTTTGAAGCATTTCGCTGCGATGCGAGCCTGTGAACAAAGAAGGCACTCAAAGGTCTCCAGACTCTTGGCATGGCACATCATGGCACTACTACACTGTACGCTGTACACTTGTCTCCATCCTGGTTGAGCCTAAGAGAGATCATAACCCATCATGATTGAGGTGGAACATGGTGGAACAAACTCCAAGAATATTTGGCGATGGCGATGGCACTTCCACTTCCAAGTGTTCACACATTTGCCGTGCTGGTTCCAGATTTCACTAAAATCAGTCTGAAGGGGATGGTCAATGTTTGTAAGTTGATCGCGTTTGTTGAAATGCCACTGAGTGTTGGACCCTAGAACATGACCTATACTACAGGTGAGTGCAGCCGAAGTGACGAGTGGGTAGACGAATCCGTTCCCAGTGACGCTTCTGCAGGGGACGGTTGCAGTAAGTTGCGGTAGAGCTTCTTATTAGTGAAAGAAATTCCCAGTGAAACGATTCCCGTTTGGAAGCTGCAAAAAACGATGTTGAAGCACTTGGTAGCATACTCTGTACTCCCAGGAGTTGCTATGAGCTCGGGGTGAAGGATGGGTGCTTCTGTCAGATCATATCTTCCTCCACGGCCCCCGGATGGACCAACAGACCACCCTGAGAGGCCGCAAAGCGCGGAGCGAAAGTGACGATTATTGACAAGGAGGGGTGTGACGGGGTATCCATTGGGTGCCAAGGTTGTTTCCAGAAACACCAGCACCGATGGCATGGCATACATTCCGGTAGATGTCCTACATATTACGCCCTGGAAGATTAACCTGAAAACCACTGGGTTGTAGAGGCAAACAGTCTTCCAAAGGTCCTTTGCCATCAGGTTCCATGGGTATGAATTTTCCTGGTTGTAGGTTATCCTTTACTTGATGTGGTGCTGGGACTTCGAAAGCAAGGCAGAGCCATGTCTTCGCCTCGTCCCATCGCGTCGACTCGCCTTCAGTTCCCAATGATCATCCCATGTCCGACGTGTTGGTGCGAAGTTCAGGATCCTGTGGATCCCGGACATTCTGCCAAGGTGGCTGTGTGTTGCCTGGTTCTGTTTGATGTAATCACACCGGTCCCATCGAATCCGCCGTGGCATCTATCCGGACAGCTTCTGTTCTAGGTCAAGAATCATCCACTAAAACAATCTAAAACACTACTATAGGAAACTATAGGTCTAAAGAATGCTCTAGGTCCAAACAAATTACAGTAATGTTGTCAAGGCCAAGTATGTATACAATAATGTCACAAAAGCAATGCCTCCTAAGTTTGGGGTTTTGATTACAGTAAGTTGTGTTTGGAATCTGAAACCAACACGATTTTATTGTTCCTTCTTTGAACTTCTTCACCAAAACCTTGCGTCGTTTGGTTCTCGCCTTCCTTCACCACTGCGGTTTTACTCGACCGATCCACCCGACGCAGCCGGAGCGGCTCGGCTAGGAGGCGAACCTGGGAGGCAACTCCGCGAAGGCCTCCAGTGGGATGAACGGCGCCAACACCCAGGCGCCAACACCGCGAGGAACGGGTCCGAGCGCGGAGAGAGCGAGCGCGGAATGCGCGGGCGAAGGATGGAGCGGAGGAGGTCTTGGGAGTTCATGGTGCTGAGTTGAAGATGGAGCTGTTGGCGATTGACCGACTAAAAAAAACGCCTCGGTTTGAAGAGCGAAAGAGCCACGACAACAAAGTATGTGGTGTCCGTTCTCGAACGACTTGAGGAGGGGTGCCTGATGGTGTCGAACAGCTACACCATGCAGTTGGATACACTGAACTGGCAGTCGATAGAGTGGATAGTTGATACAATGTCGATACCCACCGGGTGCCATCAAGTTTTGGATGTTTTCCGCCAGCCCCTCGTCTTTATTGATTCTCCGGTACGTTTCGAATTGTTTCGATGCTCCAGTGGGCAGGCAGTGGTTTCTGGGCACTATATTAGTGAAATCCACCCAGAACACTTGAACATGCGGAAGTGAAGTAAAAACCACACTGGTTCACCTGATAATTCTTCTCGATCCACTTGCAAGGTCCCCAATGTGTTTTCCAACCTTCGTTGTTATTGTGTTACTTTTTGTTCAATGGTTCCTTGTTTGACACTGTACAGTATATTATATGGCATTATTCCTAGACTTAGACTATAGTGACTAGTAGATGATTGGTATGGGTCTCAAGTTTGTAGAACAGGGCAACTCCGGCGGCGGACGGAGAGTGCAGCACTCTCTTTCCAGGCCCAGCGAGACCAGGGCATCACTGACTCCGTGGAGAAGTTCATCGAGGAGAAACCACAACGCTGTCATCACGGCGCATTGACATGTCGAAACCGCAAGGCTATTTCGAAATCGGACTCACCCGCCCCAACACATGCGGGCAACACATGCGTCCAAGCATGCGTCCGAATAACATCCGCACGCTGCTGGCAAATCACGATTAACTAAATAATAACTTCGGCAAATGTCAAACATACCAGAATATGCTATGTATATACGCATATATCTCATACATGGAGCGTTTGGGATATACACCTTCCAACTAGTTGGCACTTCCAAGTTGTTCGTCCTTTTTCAACGGTGGTGTGAGTGAGGGAGGGAGTGAGGGAGGGAGGGAGGGAGTGAGCGCCTGCGTGCGTGCCTGCGTGGGTGGGTGGGTGGGCGGGCGGGAAGGGGGTGGGTGGGTGGGTGGGTGGGTGGGTGGACATGCCATCCACCCCTGATCCTACCACCGCTTGTTTGTTGGCATGAACCCAAAGAATGGCGTTTTTGCGAAGCTCGACCACTCACCAATGGTGGGGATTATATGTATATCAGAATATAATTACCACTTCCCACAGTAATTTTGATCCACCTGCTGACACTGAGCGCTTCTGATTTCTCTCCCAAGTCGCCCACCCCACACCTCACCTTGCGCTTGCACCACCGGGGACAACGCGGCCCGCGTCGCCGGCGGCGTCGCCAGGACACCTTGTCCTCGGGCGATGGCCTGGCAGTCGTTGAGCTGGTCCACACGCTGGCGGAGCAGAGTCGCGAGACCCACGAGTGGCTGAAGTCCCTGGGCGACTTGGTGTGTTGAAATACATCCTGGGAGAGCACAGAATGGGCAGGCGAACATGTGGTCCCAATCCCAGACACTCCATGGGACTGGCATATAGGCCGATCAGTTGGGGTGGTTGACTGGGGGTCAAATGATCGGCAGTCCTATGCCAGTCCCAGACGGCTCGTGTCTGGGAATGGTGAATCCAAAATGTGATTCCCGCGAAGTCCCTCCAACGTCTCTCTGTGACATCTCACCTCGCCCAGAGAGGACCTCGGTCGAACCGAGGCCTGCACTTGAGCGACGTGGTCCAGTTAGGCGGCCATAGCACGGCACGCTGCTTGGAGCAAGGTTGGACCACAAAGAAGGGAAGGGAAGAGCCTCAATTCGCAGTTTCAGGCAGGGGCACTGTAATGGATATATAATACCTGGAACCTGAACGACCTGTAATTGGACCCCCAACCACTCAACCCAAAATATGTTTTATATGTTTGTTCAAGGGGTTCCAGGTATATACAGATATATTAATATAGAGAGAGAGAGAGAGATCGACCGTTGATGTAACTGCAAGTGAATCGTGGATCCTTGAAACGGGCATGTTTTCCTGAACTGGATCACCCATCAGCTTCAGTGGGAGCTTCAGTGGGAGGACTTACTTTTGAGTACTTTTCAACAGTGGATTTGCAAATGGGGTGTTCTTACAATGTTCTCCCACTTACCACAACGAGACAACTCCACATTCTCATTGACAAAAGTGTGTTTGAGATACTTTGATATCTTTGATCTTGGATCCAGTCATGTTTTGTTTGTTTTCCCATTGCGAGTCAAAACACTGATCGCATCAAGTCAATCAAAGTCAATGCACTTGAACAAATATAGCCCCTTGGGCCGAGTGGATGATCCATGAGTTCAAATGTGTTTTTTTTTTCAATAGTGTATACAATTGAATGATGTTGACAGTTTATTTTGATACTGTAAACTAAGTACTTGAAATGTTAAATACTGTTCAGCTGCTCAGGTGAGCAATTGGTGATCAGTTCTGTCCACCTTGAGAACTCCGCAACATATTTATGGAGAACTTGACCTTAAGGAAGTTGCAGATCTTAGCAGCTTATCAAACTTGACTACCCGACAAAACCCCGAGAGGCAGACTCTCAGTCTTTGCATTGGACCATTTTAAGGGTCAACAGTTTGTGTGTTTGTCATTATGTATTGTTCCCCAAGATTTTCCCAGAAACCTGTGCAATTCAATGGTGGAAAGCAAGATTGAACACAAACAAGACATCCAGCAAAGCCATGCAAAGCCTTCCTATGTCATTTCTAAATACCTGGAGTCTCAATGTACAGAATGTCAGAACATGATGGGTACAAGTAAGTACCAGCTTTTAAAAGGGTCATGTCCCATTTTCGAAAGCTACTTGAAGTCGGGTTCAGGTATAACGAAATTTGTTCGCCTTTCGCTGATTCTCAGGATTTGCCAAATTCACTGATTCTCAGGAAACGATTCCTAGGAATTTCGCAGATTTCCAGGTCAACCCATTTGCTTTTCTTTCATTGGGCGCGGTGCGGTTCCTGAGGCACCCACCGTTTTCCCCCCACGCCGGAGGGGAAGCCACAGCCGGTGGGCTGGACTCTAGTGAGTGGCTTGAGGAGCGACGCACGCACAGGAGGTATACTGTATATATATATATTTTTATGTTGTAGCAAGAAGCTACTAGTAACAAAGACATTTCTACTAGTAGCTAGAAGTTACTAGTAGCTCCATTACTACTAGTAGCAAGAAGCTACTAGTAACGAGTGCATCGCTACTAGTAGCTTCTTGTTACTAGTACCCTAGGGCTCCAAGTGCATTCTTAGAAAGTGTTTGGGGTGCATTTGGATGGTCCAAATACCTTCTGAGCAGGCACTTGGAGCCCTAGGGGTAGTAATGCCGGTTTTACTAGTATATAAGCGATGTCTTTTTTATATAGCAAACAGGCCCATGATGGCTCATGATTTTGAGCCCCCGTATGCAGAGGTTGTTCAATCCAACCGTGGGGGTTGTGATTCAAGAGTCTATATTATAGGGATTCCTTCAGAGAGATAGGTGTCAATTCTGGACAAATTTTAGAAGGCGCTGGCAGAGCTGACAGAGGCAAGTTGCGAACCAATTACCACATCATAGTTTCTGTTCCAGCAGGGCAAAAAATACTCTTCACTCCCTGGAAATAGCACAGAGGTTCTCCTCTCCTCAACTCCCACAAATGCACTGACAGCCCCACTTGGGGATATCAGGACGCCATGACCTCAAGCCTACAGCCATCGTTGCTCGCTTCAAGTGGTTCAAGCCGGAGCGTCCTGCTTCCTGCTTTGGGCCTTTTTGGACCTGCACAGCACAGTGTCGATCAAGCAAAATGCCGCGGTAGGTCGGCTTGGATCATGTCTTACAACTTGTTGGAACCCTACGACTTCCCAACTTGGAAAGTTTCATCAGCGCAAACCAACGGCGCCAACGACAAGCAAACCGGTTTGGTCGACCATTACGTCTTCGCCATGGTAGTCTCCCTCGTGGCGCGCAAAGCAGCTTCCCACCAGGATGCGGATGGGCCGACGCCCAGTCGGATGGCATTTGGCATAGTGGTGCCCAGTGTGGAGAACAAAGTGAACGAGCGCCTAAAGGAGAAGCGAGTAGGTTGGAGGCCATCGCTAATGGGTTGGAGGCCATCGCTAGTAGGTTGGAGGCCATCGCTAGTGGGTTGGAGCCAATCGCTAGTAGGTTGGAGGCCACCGCTACTAGGGTGGAGGCCTTCGCTAGTAGGTTGGAGGCCATCGCTATTAGGTTTTGGCCTAAAGGAGAAGCGCTCGCAGAATCCGGAACGAGTGAAGGGTTCCGCACACGCGCACTCGCGCACACGCGGTGTCGGAAGAAGATCAACCTGCACTTTTTTTTGGTAAGCCTGATATATCCTTATATAAATTTTGTGGTGCCCGGGAATTTGAGGCAGTTTTTTTGTGGTGTCCAGGCCATCACTATTAGGTTCTTTAGCCCTCCTATTCGGCTCAAAGCCGACCGTTTGGTTTGATGCGACCTTCTCCCCCGTGCGAGATCACGCAGGGTAGCAGGGGCCATGTGTGGCACGACAAAAAGGTGATCAAAACCACAATATGCCACAATCATTTAAGCTTAGGATTAAATTATGGAGCATGATGGAGCAAGATGTTTGAATTAGCTGCAGTGCTTATATGTGCAAAAAAAATGCTTTGAGCACTTGTTGTTCACTTTCTCAAGATGTTTTTACCTGCACGGTAGGTTCAACAAGCACTTCTCAGATAGACATTTGTGCGTAAAAATAGACTTGACTCCACTTCACTATATCTCTTCTGGCACCTTCAAAGTCCAGATCCTTTGGCCCGTGCACTTCTCGTTCTCCCAAGGGTTCACACAATTCCCAATCGCTTGAAAATCCTTCAGGAGTGGGTGTACCTGAAGGGTTTCTTGCGGAAGCATGGCTTCCGAGACGTGCACACTGCACAGAAGCTTGGTGGCTGCTTCTTCCCGAAGGAACGCCCCTCGGACTGAACGACGCATGGCGAAGCATCTCTCGGCGCTGCGCTTCGAGTTGGAGCACTCCGAACATAGGGCGCTCGAAGGGTGGGAACTCCGTAAAAGACGGTCCCACAAAAAGTGGATCGAACAATACTTTTCTTGATATGTCCAGATGGGCGGAACTCCAGCAACCAGCCTCCAGAAAACCGAGTTCGAACTGCTGGTGGCCTGCTGTCTTTCTTCGCACGCGCCTTCTTTGCGGGGCGTGGAGGATTGTCAATGGATTCATCATGATAATCTTGTAGGCCCTATAGGGCTCCAAGTGCCTGCTCAGCAGGTATTTGGACCATCCAAATGCACCCCGAACACTTTTTCAAAATGCACTTGGAGCCCTAGGGAAGGGCTTTTAAATGGATTCATCATTGTGACAAACAAAATTATATATATATACCCAAAACAGATGTAAGAACATGAATTAACTTGTCATGATCGTCCACCATGTCCGCACCATCATAAAAACAATTCAAAACATGATTTTATATGCCTTATATGCCAGTATAATTAAGGAATAATTGAGGATAGCAATATATAATATATTAAGCTATAATATGGATGCGCTGACAGGAAGCTCTCAGTTTACTGCACCTTCCTACTCCGTTGCAAGGAACTGCGATCGATCGCGCGACGGTCCCCCGTCGAAGCGACGCGCAGGTGTTCGTCTTCCGACCAGTTACGTACGTGGCAACGATTCTTTTCGCCGGCCAAATGGAATTCCCAGACACGAGCTGTCTGGGACTGCCATAGGACTGCCATACAGCCAGATCCCCCTGGCACCACCCCAACTGATCGGCATACTCCTGGAGTGTTTGGGATTGTTAGGATGGTATTTGAGTGCTCAGTGTCGACATGATGCCCCAAATGTATACATGTTAATTTAGATACCCTTTCCCTTGAACCCAGGTGATGGGTGATGCTATTTCTTCCTGCTTTGCAGGTTTCTATCCGATTCATCGAGCTGCGCAGCTGGGCGATGAGACACTTGGAACTATGTCGCGATGCCGAGACTCCCCAGGGGGGGTCATCACTTGGTCTTCCAGTAAAAATGTGAAAAAGTATGTTTGACCGAAACAGAAAGAGACCCTGACACCACTGACAACAAAGGATCTCAGGCAAGCTGATGGAATTGTATGGGATTGTTTGGATGTCTGATGGAACGGAAACATCACACGCTGAGACAGCAGGGAACTTTCTGCATGTCACACTCCTTCTAAAGCAGATATACTTTGGGTCCGTGCTCAATTTGGTTTCGAATATCCTTCAGGAAGGTGTGTTTCCGGTGAACTTGTTTACCAGTCGGAGTCGAACTGAAGCTGCTAAGAACCCACAGGAAAAACAGAGGGTGCGTTTATGGTACGTGCTGGCATAGCCCAGCAAATCCCAGCAATCCCAGAAAATGGAGACACACTGGGGAAGTTCAAGGAATTTCCAAGCAACTGCTTTCCAACGTGCTTCCTGGAGTGTCACCTGGATCGAGACCCCCCAGGAAGGCTTTGTGGATCATCCTCCGCTGTTACAACGTCGACGTGGAGCTGGAGACCTCCTTTGGACGCACGCCCGTCGCTTGGACGTGGGCCGGACCGGGAAAGGCGTTCCAACCGCGGGTTGGGAGGATACAGCAGAGCCAAGTTTGGACATTTAAGAGTTTTGTTTTGTTTGGAAAGGATTTTCTTTTAATAAGAAAGAGGTTGACCTGCGGTTTGTTTGTGCAAGCAAATTCACCTGGGGGCATAGGCCTGCGTAGGCTTTTGTGGAGGATATCTTCGCGTAGGCTTCTTGCGTAGGTACCTCTTTTCGTTATGTTTGAATGCTTGAATGTGTTGCATCTCATGGTTGCAGTGTTTTGCAGCAGGAGGAGGAGGAGGAGTAGTATAATTAATATAGTCATAGTAGTAGTCGTAGTCGTCGTCGAGTTCACCACAGAGCGAATAGACCACAAGCACCGAAGAGCGACACCCAATGTAGGCAAAACACATCCTAGAAAGAGAAAAGCTGCATTGAGTATGCTCCGCGCAGGCATGCTAGAATAAAGCAATGGCTCCCGTGGGCGCACGCTGTGGAGGCGTAGGTGTGCGTAGAATCCCCACGTAGGGGCCCACGTATGAGAACACTCCACACACAAAACAAAACTCTGCTCATTTGGTCGACCAAGCTGTCCCCTGTGTAGAGAAAATTCCAGATGTCCTTTGCCCATTGCTTTCTTGAGGAGTGTTGGTAGGCATTTGAGATGCTAGATTGAGTGGCGGGTTTCACGCAAAGCAAGAAGTCAGGGCACTTTTTGGCCGCGAATTGCAGCAGCAGGTGCGATATGTGTGTTCATGTGTTCCATGGTGCCCAAACAGGAGTCGGCAAACATTCTTATACCTTAGGATCGGCAATATTTTCTCTGCGAAAGACAGGTGGCTGAAGGCTCAAAAGTATACCTATACTAGCAATGGCCTCCAACCTACTAGCGATGGCCTCCAACCTGGTAGTGATGGGCTCCACCCTAGTAGCCATGGCCTCCAACCTAATAGCGATGGCCTCCAACACCAGAAGACTCCACCTGAATCTTGGGCACCGTTTCTTCATCCTGGCCCTCCTGGCCACCAAGGCCATGCTGGCCATGGAGGCAGATGTGGATGGCTCGCATGCAGGGGTGCTGGACCTACTGCGCAGGCCATACCTAGCCTGGGCCGACCGAAAAGTGCTGCCAGGCATAGGCAGTGAGAGGACCTGTGCGAGTGGACGCCTGGCGGGGTGGGGACCGTTGGTACCGTTGGTCCGGTCGAGGTCTTTCCTCTGCATTTGCCTGGCCAATCAGAGCCGTTCCGGTTGTTCTTCATCGCGGCAGGAGGTCTTTCCTGGTGGTCTTTCATGTGACGTTCACATCGGCGATCTGGTGCTATAGGAAACGGCCTCCCCAGTCGCAGGACACATCCCCCGTCGACGCCGCCTGCGCCTGCAGCATAGGGGTGGCCCGCTAGAGACCGCACATGGGAGTCTTCATACGTAGCTTGACGTGCTGTAGGAATCAACATGAATCAACAACAACCCTCTTGAAACCAACCAGACCTCGGATCTGCCCCCAGCATCGGATCTGCCGCGTCTTTCTTTTTGGTCTCCAGGTCGGTGTGAAAAGAACGGACAGATGGGACAGCCATGAGTCATGAGGAAATCCGAAGATCGAAAGGGAAAGGGGATTGTCTGTTTCATTATTTTTTCACTTCACTGACGTGGTGCCTCAAAGCACTCCTCAAAGCATTTGTGCTCGAATCCTGGTGGGTGGTGATCCCAAGAAAGCACCATACTGAGCCCAAATTGGTTGAACTGGACAAGTTGACAAGATACCTAACAGCTGCAAAGTTCAATTTGTGGGCCGATCAACACAGTATTCATGCATATATTCATGCATTCTGTCCAGGAAATTCCAACCTCCTTTGTGACAGAAGCAAGACTTTAAGGGCTTATGAGGAGTTCAACAAGTCATCCAAGCAGGGATGTCGATGCATGTCCCCATGTGCCCACAATGACTTCACACTTCGCCAATATTTACCCTTCGTTTGCGCATGTCCGCGCCATCCTTCGTGCCACACGGTCGGCTGGCGCCATCCGGTCGCTAATTAGCCGCTAAGCCACGCTGGAAGTGTACAAATCTGACTTTCCGATGTGTAAAGGATGGTGTAAAATAGCAAAAACTTCAAAATCACGGCAGTTGGGCGGATGTCCGTTCGTCCCGTCTTTGTTCGTCCGATCGTGCGTTCGTCAGCACCTTTTTTCGTGCCCCCCCCCCATGCACACCAGCTCCTGTGAGCTTCTCTCCAGCGCTGGACAGTGATGAGAACCAAGGACATGTGCAGGACGAGCTCTATTGAAGTCGGCTGGTGTTGCACACATGCTGATGATGGTGTTAGTCCCCCATGTGGTGTTCCGAGAGAAAGGGACCTTTAGAAGAGATTTCGGCTGTGTTAACTTTACAGTGATTGGGTTGCATGTTTGAATTGCTCATACCAGCCGCTTCAAGCAATTGTCCAGTCAAGTTGGTGGAGTCCAGCTTCATATGATGTCATATGTATATATTTCTTTCCATTCATGGCCGCTTGCCGGCGCCTCAAATTTGCTCCGGGCGAAAAGCATTGTGTTCCGACTTGAATGTGTTGGGAACAACGACAGCTGATAGTCAACAACTGGTTCGCATCGAAAAGCCAGACCTCTCTTTCTTTTCGGCTTGTTCACTGGTCCTTCCAACACAGACTCTATTTGGTTTCCGGATCTGAGGCGGTGGTGGGTACCGGTGGACCCGGGATCCAAGAGCGTGTGCTCGGCCATTGGGAAAGACTGCAAGTGAGCACTTTGCGAGAGTCCTGGTACCATTCAAGACCACAAGGAGAAAGCATCTTATCTTGGGAGCTGCAAGGGAATTTCATTTTTTTGTTTACTTGCGCTACAAAAGAATGGTCTGAATGGATTTCTGCAATGTTCACGATTGATTTCTTCTATCCCTGCCTCATGGCAGCTATTCAGGGTGACGGAAGCTGAAGAGATCCGCCAAAGGTGAGGGGATTTTTGGGAAAATGAGTACTCCCAGTGGCGAGGCTGCTGCTTTGCTTTGACTGGGCTGTTCATGCCATACCCACAGGTCACGCGAATCACCGAAAAAGGGAGACCGACAATCGCCAACCGATTGTCGATGTCTTTCAGCGTTTGGTCGACTGCCACTCCTTTGAAGAAGCAAATTCGTTCACCTGGCGCAGAATTCTCTCTCCGACCAGTTTGGGTTGAAGGTGTTTATATATCTCCTCGGGTCAAGCCTGCCTTTTGAAGTGGCAGGGTTGCCTGGTCAATTTGAAGCGACTGGAACTCAAGAACGAGCAAGAGATGTTTCGAAACCTGGACGGGGTAATTTGTTTGGTGGGATGGACTATTACACAATGCACTTTGGTGCGACTAAAAGGCTACTCTGGGTCGACCAAAGCATATGGTCAGACGGAAGAGAGATCAGAGAGAAGTGCATTTTAATATGTATTTGTCTTCATCATCGAGATTCCTAACATGATCATAAACCGCATAAACCTTTTCTTGGCAATGATTTCTTGTGCCAATGATTGAAGACCTGACGAAAGAGTTTTGTTCATCTTTGAACGACACGGGTACTGACACCCAAAACTGATGAGACGGGTATGGATGTAGTGTTTGCCTGTATCGAGCCTCAGAATGTGCCATGAAAATCGTAAAACACACAATAGATCCTTTTTAGCACATAAGAAGCGAATGATTTCTTTCGTGCAGCGCAGCAAGATGAATGAAGCATAGGGTGCGGAGATTTTTTTTCCATGTGTTCATCGTCGGACCAACCCTGCACAGTGATGATGTGTTTTGTCATTAAGTTGGATGTTACAAGCTGGTCTGTGCCAATGAAAATTTGGATGTTCTTGGGCTTGTGCACCTCGTCTTTTGGGATGTGCCTTGAACTCGGTTGATTTAGATGCAAGAGGTGCTTGAAAGCAAAGGGGCGTGCCTCTCAAACAGAATCAGCTCCGTTGACCTCAGAGCAAACCCATCAAGCAAACTTCTGTCATTATAGATGGAATAAATTGGAATAATGTCACAAGCATATCATTGTATTCAATCATTTTTATCGTGTTGTTCCTGGAGTTCCACGAAGTGTAAGTCTCTATTGTTAGTCCATCGGATCTTGTCATCCCCAGCAGCACAAGCAGGGGAAACAATCATGGACAGCAAGCAAAACAAGCGGCGCTTGCGCAGGTCGTTTATGATCGTTTTAATCGAGAAGTAGAGGTCCGCTGTTATTCCTTCCTGGGGCGAGCCATGAGATTCATAGACTTCAAAACATGCATCCGTTGGAGTGCACAGAGGCCGCATTTTTGTTTGCTGTCCTTTTTATAGTACAGGCCACTGCCAGTATGAACCTTTGACGTTGTCAATACCAGCACCAGCAACAGAGAATAACAGAGAAGCCGTAGGGTGCAAAATAATGCTGCAACATAACTGTGCTGCGAATGCTTGGGTTACTGTAAATCTTGTGATTTTGATTTAGTCTTGCAGTTGGTGGTGACTCAGTCATATCCATTCAACTGGACGACAACTTGTGCGCCCAGAAGATCAAATTTCCACGCTGGCACGTACCTGGACCCTCGTTGGGCAAGAACGCTGCACGGACAAAGGGGGCCTTACCGGCCTTACTCATAATAATAGGCAGAGATTTCTGCCCAAGAAGAGGTTCTGGGTACAAGTAAGCATGCGGACTTCGCCGCATGCATGGCTCAGATGCAGATGCACAGATGTAGACTGTAGACCACTGTCCTGGAGTCCTGCACAGTGCGCGGTGGTCTTCGACTGCCAGACCCAACTCTCCGTTGAAAAGAAAAAACCTCGTGGGACGTGAGACGACCTGAGTCGTCACGGTGGGTTTACATGGGTTTGGGACCTGGGGAATCATTGCAATGAGTTTATGCTGTTTTGGAGACCCTGGTTATGGCATACATGAAGTGCTTATATAGAACCTATATAGCCTATATAGTGTTGACTTGTAGGTCCACTTTTCCATGCTCCGCAAATGGTGCCACGACTGACAGGCCACGACTGACTCGTTTGTTGTTGCCCTGATCAAACCCTCACAAATTCACCCTCCAGATGTCTGTGGCGGGTGTCGATCCAGGGTGTCATGGTTTTGTGAAGGCACTGTTTCTTCTTGTTGAGCTGAATTGAATTGGTATATGTTATATAAGGCGCACACAGGATTAAGTAACCACCCCCTATTAATCAATCCCAGCTCGACCCCCCCAATACTGAACTAATTTAAAACCTAGATTTCCACCTTGGCATCCCCCTAATATGTTTTTTCCTGGGCAGAAACTTCCCCCTAGTAATCAATCCCAGCTGCCCTAGAAAAAAATCCATAAAGATTGTTATTGTATTTGTAATTCTCTATTATTCATGTTCTTTTGCATATGCTTCTTTACCCTCTTGTCCAACTCATATTCCTATTCTTTACCTTCTTCATGAACTCCTCATAGTCTTCATTTTCTTAGAGGCTGGTGTCTTCATCTCCTCATTTTCCTGATTCTCACCAATCCTTTTGATGGCTTCTCCTGAGGGCTCATGCTACCAACCATCCCTAAAAAATATCTTGCAAAAATATGTCATTTTCCCCTTTAAAACTCTATCAAAATCTTAACTTTGTCAAGCTCACGAAGGGTGCCCCTCACACAGGCCCTACGCCCCCCCAATAGTAAGACCCCCTCCCCCTATTAATCAATCCCACCCTCTGGCCTCATTCTTGTCTTCCAATGCTTTCATCCTGCAATCCTCTTCCAATTCATCCCAATCAAAGAGAGTATCACCAAATGGTTTCCCAATCCCATGGGTTTTCCCAATTCAGTTTTCTTCTCATCCGAATCTTCCCAATCAAATCATCATCCATCATCAGGTCCAGGTCCTCATCTCATTGTCCATCATCAGGTCATCATCTGTTTTTTTTAAGTGGATGTGGTCCTCCAATACCTACAATCTCAGACCTTGTTGACCTTGTTGACCTTGAAGGGGCGGGTCCCTGTTGAGTGATTCATCCTACGTCGACATGACACTAACACACGGGCTTGTTCGAATTCGATCGATCGATCTATCAATTCAGGCCGTGTTTGTTTCGAAGAGCTGCACCGACCTGCTGGTCCTTTCTGCGGCGTGGCCGCTGACCCCGCGACCCGCCGCGTGGCGAGTCTAGCGACCCGTGCAGCGATTCGACAGGAAGATCTTGGAGACTGAATTGAAGGATCAGGCCCGGTTCCTGGGTTGGGTCCGCTGGGATGGGTCTGCTGGTGGGAGCACACCTGGTGTAGTAATAAACCTGCTTCCGGTTGCTTTGATCAGGGTCTGTCAGAAGTGTGGTTGAATACAAACTTATAGGATAAGTATGGATAATAAGCCAAACATTAGATTACAGTCTGTTTAACTGTTGTTTTCGTTTACAGGAAAAGGTTCGTTCTGCCGCAGCAAACCGGCGGTTTCCCGGAGCGAGCAAGCGATGGCTCGTGTGGTGGCAATGGTCGGTGTTCGACTGGTGTCAGTCGAGTTCTGATGACGCAAAGCTCGAAGCCCTGTCGGTCGATTCTAGAAATCTTGCAAGACCAAAGCAGTTCTGGGTGTATCCATTCATGCTCGATCATGGACAGAATTGACAGAATGTTATTTGCCCTGCGGGCTTTGTCACTGCCATCAACCCACCCAAATTCTTTTTGGGCATCCTTGACTTCTCACTAAAGAAACTTGATCCACCACCCCCACTTGCTGTTTGAAGGCTTTGAAGTCCCAACAAAACACTCCCCTGTTGGTCACTGAGCCCCTATTTATCGGGGGGGATTGATGTATACATCCAAACCCACATTCTCTCCGAATGGCTCGCTCTTCCGCCCATCCCGACCGCCCGGGCCGCGGTGGGAGGTGACCATCCGAACGAAGTCCAGCTTCAAGGCGCCGCGTCCCGAGCCGGAGCTGTTGAGAAGACGTCGGGATGGCAGGAATGGCCCGTCCGACCGTTCCATGTGGGTACATCGAGGACCTACACACATTCACTAGTTGCTGAAACAAGCCAAGTGTAGGTCCAGACCTACATGCCTTGGGGCTCGGTATTTCTGACCATGTCATTTTGTTGGCCCCCGACTTCGGAAGCCGAACGCATGAGTTCAATCCACCGTGGCGGCAAGTCCCCAGACCAGGAGCTCCTGATCGAGGATGGACGTGTGATGGGCTTGAATTTCGAGCCACTTGGAAAAGGAGAACGTTCTGTTACTGTTTGGAATCAGGTGCTGCCCAGCCTTGTTGAAAGAGGGGACAACTGCCATTCCATTCCATTCCAATCCATTCCAAGCAGCTGGGGTGGTTAATATTGCAATCCACTCCATTCGGTTTGGCTTGGACACCGTTGACTCTCTTACGCGCGCTTTGCTGTTTACGCGCGTTCCACCAGGCACGAGAACGGCACCGAACAGCTCCGCGGCACCGTGGTGCTCACAGCAGGAGGCCCGCGACGAGACCCCGTGAGCTGACCTGGGCAGAAGAAAGACAACACAAAGAGCGAAACAAAACCGAAGCCAACCACCAACATGACGAGACGAGTTTCCAAACATCCTGTGCATTCCTGTGCAGGTCCAGTGGTGGTTTCAAGATGATCGCTCCCCAGGTCTCCTGGGGGTCGCTCCAAGGGGTCATCGTCATCGCCAGGCTATGCCAATGACCATGCAGATTCTTCGCTCTTGGACTTGCACACGCCAGCCCTTGCCAAGCTACCCACGACCAACGGGCCTTTCGCTACCGGGGACGCTTGGGATGTGTTCGGTTCTAGGAAGCGGCATCGTGCGCGGGAACCGTGACTGCCGGTCCATCCAAGATATGACATGTGGGTCGATACCCAGAGACCCACAACTCTGGAACTTCCTGGTAGGTTTTTCTTGGCCAGGTAGTCTATGCTGTTCAATTTCAGTGGTCAACCAGGGTCAACGGTTTGGAAACACAGCCATAAATGGGTGTGTGATGTTTCTCGGGAGATCCATGCCTGGGGTTGTGTCTATTTAGTCGATGTCCTTCTTCCAGGGGGTCGTTGCCTATAGGGTGTTTACCGAACCAACATGTGGCAGTTGGTTTGGGTCCATGAACCTTTGCTGGAAGCCGTATGCCTTGACATTCACAATGGTGGTCCACTTTGATTCAGCAAAAGCTTTTGTCGACTGGATTTCTGTGGAGTGATCACTTGAACAATCTTGAGAACTCTTTTGATGGAACGAATGTGAACCGATGGAGCATCACTTAAAGCTCCAACTCGAGTGATTTGCTTCATGATGGATTTTCTTGGTGGCTCCAACGGCCTCCTTTTTTTGGTGCGCCCTGGCGCTTGGATGCATCCGACACCTGCGGAATGTCGCTCCATCGCTGCGCTGAATACGCGAGTTCTGCAAGCTAAGGATGTGATCAAGGCACTGGTGAAGCAGGTAGGAAGGGAAGAGGGCCTGTTGATACAGGTGCATGGCAGGCGGGTGACCAACACATGACATTTGTTGGGGAAGACCCGCAGTGATGCTGATGTCATGTGTCACCTGTTGGGATAAAAGGCATTTCGTGAGACATCACTATTGAAAACACCACCTGTTTCCTTGAAAAACCATGAGATGATAGGTAATTACAAGGATTGTGGGGGGAGACAAGATGAGGCAAGCTTTTGGGATCAGCAGGAGGTCGTTGGTTTTGAGCTCCCTGACATTGCAAGATTTGCAAGAACAGAAGATGAGGAGCAACCAAAGGAAATACATGTGGTCCTTGAGAGCCAGTTCCAGCGACCAACTCATTTTGACCAGATAACATCAAACAACTCTTTTCATCTCAGTTCCATTGTTTTTGTTTTTTTGTGTGTGTGTGGAAAGCCCCTATAGTGTCGCCATGTTTCAGCGTATGAGTATTTTTTGTTTATTAGATCTCGACTGCATGGCCATTCTCCACCCATTATACCAAAGCCTCATAAAACCTCATCCTGTAATTACACGTTCTTGATCGTCCGTTTACTCCAATTCTTGATCCGCAATTTCACATCGCCGGCCGTGCCCTCGCAGGAGGCTGGGGTGAAAACAACGCTCATGGACAAGGTCCAGATCCACCCCACAGGCGCGCAGACTCGGCACCGCCTGGCATCGCCTTCGTGTTTCCGCGCTGCAGAGGCTTCATTGAGGTGAAGCAGCCCAACTTCCACACCAAGTTCTTGGCGCCGGAAGCTCTCAGAGGTGGGAGTCTTCCAGAAGCTGCATGGCCACATGGCATGAAACTCGCGTTGTTGTTGGCATGGCATGGAATCACTACGTGAAGACAGTCTTTTCGTATCTATACCGACGTTGATGGCCAAGAGTTCAGACAAGCAACATGCACTGTTCAGAAGTGCTGGATCTTGTGTGTGAATGAAGATACAGGCTGTGCAGGATCTCTTACTCTATAGTTAGGTGTGGGTGAAGGGTGAGGCAACTTGGAAAGACTGGACATGTCGTTCTCACTTCCAGCATGCTACTGTGATTCTCACATATTGTCACATACAAGAAGACTACGAAGGTCATAGATTGCCAATGTTCCGCGATTTGGTTTCCTTTCACGATGGGTTTGCAGTTTGGACCATTGTCACACAATATTGCCACCGTTGATTGATTTTCGCATTTTTCTTGTATATTTTACCACGACACGTCAAACTTAAAACTTGAAGTTCTTGCTGCTGTTTCAAATCTGTTCATGTTGGAAACTCGAGCCGTTTTGGGGGGTCGTGTGGCCATGCGCCCATGCTGGAGTTTAGCTTACAGATGTACCTCTCTCTCATTCTTTTTCTTTCTCTCTTTCTCTCTCTCTCTCTCTCTCTCTGTCTCTCTCTCTCTCTCGGTCTGTTACGAAAGCCAGCCTTCGTAGAAGGCGCCAGTGTGTTTGGCGAACGAAGTGAGGAAGTAGGGGGTCTGGGCGGGGTGGCCCGCAAACGTACTACGTAAACTCGAAATTGGGTGGGGGAGAGGGATCCACGGAAGGAAGGTTTTTGAGGTTGAGTTTTTGTGATTTTTGAGGGGGTGGTGATGCAAGAAATGCAATTTGCATCATTTATTAGATACCCAGGGTAGCTACAATTCAGTTGCCAGGTATAGTACTTCAAGTTCCCTTTCCGTCAACCGCTCGATAACCTTTACACACGCGCAGCAATCCACAGCTTTGAAGTCTCATTCGTGCTTTGAACTTATATAGGTGTGTAAGAGGTATAGCAACATAGCATATATACGGACCCAGGGTAGCTACAATTCTGTTGCCAGGTATCGCACTTCAATTTTCCTACCCTGGGTCCGCGCGTGCGCGCCTTGCTGGCTCCCGGCTGCCCTAGATCGCGCGCGCGCGGACCCAGGGCAGTTACAAGGCAGTTGCCAGGCTTGCTTTCTATAAATCTATAAAGCTTTGGTGAGGCAGAAGAACTTGGGGCTATTCGGAGTGTAGATTCTATCTAGCAGGCTTGCACACTCTATGTGGTTTTTATGCCAGGTGGGGTGTGAATCAATAGAGAGTGGGAGTTAAGATGGGCACCACTGGGTTTGTCTCTGCATTTCTACCATCCACATAGTCACATGAGTGGTGCGTGCAACCACTTGCGGATCCGGTCCCAATTCGATCGCCGGAATCCGTGCACTGCTCCCGGCGCAGGATCTGGCGGCATTTTGCTGTGCCATGGTAAACGCTTTGCGAATGAGCTGGGGAGGCTGGGGAGCAGGGCGAAGCAGCGATTTTGTGGTGAGGAGGACAGGTGACAGGTTCCGAAGGGGTTAAGGGTGTGAAAACCCCATGCGTGTGAACAAGAGTCGATGACAGGTTCGGTTCAATTTGTTCACTGAAGGTTGTGCATGTGGTTCAAACATCCTTTTGCACAGAAGCAGGTTCACACAATATTTTACAAATAGTTTCTGTATCATGAGACCGGAGAGAACCTTCAAGATTCCCTCAGGTGTTGAGTATATCAGGTGTATGTTCAAATTCCTAAATTGTTTGATTTGCTGTCGTTGACTATTAGCCATGCTTGTTGGGTTCGGCTTTGTTGACAGGCGGGACTACCTCACGGAGGAGATGTTCAAGCATTGCAAACCCCTCTTCGACAAGGAGGATCCTGAAGCAAGAGAGGTCCAATGTGCAAATCGGATGGCTGTCTCCTCACATGGGGGGCTCCCATCCGATGGAAGGTAGGGAAGTGAGACGAAAACCATGGCACCCACACCTGTCAGCGAAACGGAGGTCCGGGCAGAAGGCTTGAAAAAGAGGGCCTTTTTTTTGTGTATGTGTGTGTCACATTGTGTTACTGTCCGTACCCTCTACATCTCAGTCCCTAGGGATCCAAGTGCCTTCTCAGAAGGTATGTGGATCCATAGGGAGTATGTATCTGGTCCATGGATGTGAAAACGACACGACTTGAGACCCCCAACACACCCGATACAGACAAATGCGAAGACCCGGGCGTTACGAATACCAACCGATGAAACTTGGGAATCGTCCCGGAAAAGCAAGGTCCCAACATGTCCCAAGCATGTGTAGTTTAAACTGTTCTGAGTTTTGCAAAATGGGCGCGTGGATGGCGCGTGGAACCCACAAGCAACATGTCATGGTGTCTCACCAAGAAAGCCGAAACTTTGCGGTCTCGCCTGCACGGCCTCGCAGGAGAACCCCTTGAGTGCAGCGATGCTCTTGACCGAAGAGGCCGTGGAGAAGTATGGAAGTGGTGCCATGGGCTTCTACAAATTTAAAGGCTTGGTACAGGAGAGCACCCGAAGCGAGCCTTGAGCCAGTCCTGGAGCTTGTCGAGTCCTGTCGGTGGAGTCGCTCGGTCGTGGAGTCGCTTGTCCTGGGTTCCAGGAGGCTTCTTCGTCGAAAAGACGGGATGGCTTGGAGATGTGGTTCTGGTACAGAAAAAGGATTTAGTGATCGCTGGTGTCACTTGTAGAATTGATCCATTCAAAGGGCTCAATTTTGAAGTGCGGATCCAAAAACTATTAAAACAACCAATCAACCAACAACAAAAAAAACACAAGAAAGAACGTATACACACTGTATACACCACGGGTGGTTGGTTGATAGACGCTCCCCAGGTGAGTGGATCATATGCCTCGAAATCACCGAAGCACCGAAAAGGCGATGGAATCCGAACGGGCTCTCCATGGCAGGTGACGGACCCTCCATAGCAAGGGTCCGGGCCCGAGCCAAACCCTATCTGTTTGAGGGCCCGGATTCTTAGGGTGGCTCCACTTTGGCTCCGAAAACCTCGCATTTTGAGGGGCGTTCTGTGGCCGTTGAATGGGTTGACACGTCACTCATTGGCTATTGAAGTGACCATTTTTGGAATGATTTTATATCCACGTGTTGTATAACTCTTGCTTGTTGCATGTGTCCCTGTTTCTCACTTGTAATTGATTCCATCCTGCGCTGTTCTTACCCTCAATTATGTATCTATATAGTAATTGATATATCTATCATTCTCTATCATTCTACGCTGTTTGTGGAATCAGACAACCCACCAAACCAAATCCAGATCTTCAAAAGCCACGCCTGCACACCTACCCACTTCTCTGCAGGACGTGGGCACCGTCGAGGCTGCGGCGGAAGCCATGGGAACGTCGGCAGAAGTGCTGAAGAAGACCCTGGAGGACTACAACGAGGTGCTATGTTCATCCTCGCCACCTTTGCGGCGGACGCGTTTTTCATCCAGGGAAGGAGATATATTATAATATATTAATCTATGATTATTTTGGACAAGCTTTGGGTTATTGTTTTAAGGTGCTGGAGGGAGGGGAGCCGAGTGCTGAAAAAAGCGGTTGGGGCTTTCGAAGTGGTTGATGGACTTGGGTTTGGTTACGTTGATGGACTTGGGTTTAAAACATTAACAATTTTAAAACCGATTGATGCACTCCAAATTGCACTTGCTCGATTTGGATCTTGATGAAGATCTCCGAAAAAAGGGTGAGCTTTTGGAAAATCCTCAGGGTGGACTGTCCCGCCATTGTTGTGTTGCTTAACATTGTGGGCCCAGTCCAAGAGGGATCGAATTGGATCCTGATGAGCAGGTATGAGAAGAGGGTATGGCAATTGAGTCTTAGAGCTTGGAAGACATGTTTTGTGTTGAAATAGGGAGACCCCCACCAATGGGCTTTGGTCCATTTTCCTTCCATGCCCTGAGCTTGGAGGGGTGGGAGGAACTTCAAGCAGTGCGACGGGCCATTATCCGAACCTTCCAGGAGGTCTCCCTATTTCAATACCCTTTAATGTTTGATCCAGAAAACAGTGCTTGGGGTGCCGGAACCGTTGCCACCCATGACGCACCCGCGCGCGGGGATCGGTCCAAAACCTTGGAGCACGCCTTCCGCTCGCGAACAACCTGAGTTTCTTTGCACTATTTTGCATTTGAACATCGGTTGTGTCAAACCTCGTCGTTTTCGCACGTGACGACGTCACTCTCCTTGACCTTCTCCGTCCTGGCCGACGGAACCGCGGTCGACCGACCGCGGTTCCGGGGCGTGCCGATGAATCGGAGAGGCGTCGTGCGGCCGTCGCAGGCGGCGGAGAGAGGACAGGACAAGTTCGGAAAGAAGGTCTTCCCCGCAGCTTGGCGCCGGTGTTGGCCATGTCTGACGTGATCGGTGATCCATCCGACCAACTCGGATGGTGACCATCGTTTTTGCAACCAATTGTTGGACCTTTCTCTGACTAGCTGCTAAATCCACCCAAACAGGCAAAGGGTTGCTGTGAATCCACCGTATAGATCTTGATGGCAGGTTTGCCGTGAATCCCGCGGTTCTCTTGCTTAACTCACCCGTGTATTACAGGAAAGTCCGGAGTATTCCATTCATTGAACATTTGCTCAGGCGGAATCGGCCGTAGAAGATTGAACATGGTGTTGGAGAAGAGGCATCAAGCACACCAAAATTGGGTGTATTGTGTATTCTGCCAAGACCATCAAGCATCGGCAGAGGATCACCATCATGATTTGCCCAAAGAAGTAGAGGAAAGTGACGTTCGCTGTTGCTGCTGCTGCTGCTGGTGTTGTTGTTGTTGTTGTTGCTGCACGACTTAGAAACATATTTTGTTCAATGGCGTGGTGGACCATGGTGTAGTACTGTAGTGCTTTCAAGTACTGTGGTTCTATCAATAGTACCGAGTTGGTCATCCCTGGTTATCCACTACTGATATACAATTAATTACTAAATGCAACAAACAAAAAACAACACATATTATATGATATGTATACCCTTGGGCTCCAAGAACCTTCTCAGAAAATATTTTTGACCCTCCTGGCACCCAGCCCAAACACCTTCGAAACGAAGGTACGACTGGAGCCCTAGGGATGTGTTATTAAAAGATTTATAATGTATTTAAGGCTCATAATTGTATTGCTTATTAATATGATATATACAATACACAGTGTATAACACGATTGTTCAGCCCATAGAGGTTTGGCAATCTCGGGAACACCATTGGCAATCTCGGGGTCTCTCGTTGTTTTTGGGTCGCAAAAGTGGATCGATCTCAGTTCGAACCGACCCTGTAGATATGCTGGAAGACCTTGGCTGAAAAAAAAGTAAAAAAAACACGAGAGATTCCCTGGAGACCACCTACTGGTCGCACCATTCTTTTGAAACGACACACAATTCAACCTCTTATTGGTCGGGCGACGGGACCTCGAACGACCGTTGAAGGAAGTGGAATCTCAGTTAACTTGGCTTCCAAGGAGTAGACCAGTTTTGAATTCTGAAAGTATGACAGGAGTAACTCCGTTGTAGATGATGCTCGTCCCTTATGTCCAAGTTCTTCAAAGCATCTACCACCACCACATATATAGATGTATTTTATAAAATATTATTACAATAAATATAGGACTTGTTTGGATGTGCTGATCATTCTGGGAACCGCAAAACTCAACTACCAGTTCCAGCGAGCCGACCTCTCCCTGGAGATCCAATGACCTTCTCAGAATGGCACCGACGGGGACTCTCCTGCTACCGACCTGTCTCAGTGGAGACAACACATCACCGTAGAGAAGGTACGACTGGATCCATACCCAGACGCTCCATGTAGTATGCCATATATGCCGCCCCATTGACCCCCCTGGCACCCCAACTGCTCGGCAGTCCTATGCCAGTCCCATGGAGCGTCTGGGATAGGGGCTGTTGCTGGATTCGATTATTTTTCGAACGCGGAGAGTCGACGCAACACCAAGACTTGGCTTCGCGGCGCTGTCTTGCCTCTCGCTTCCAGGTTCGCTTTCCCAGTACAGCTCACCTCTATGTGGCTTTCGTGACACCCACGTGGCCTGGCTGTCGTCGCTGTTGTTCTTCTGCGTGTGTTTCCGATATAGTATGTGTTTTGAAACAGATTGTTTGGCGAATGCTCATGAGCTAATCTTTCTGTATCGGGGTTTGTGTCGTTCTTTGTTTGTGTGTGTGTGTCTTTTTTGAATTGGATGGCCACTATGTCACTATGAGATTTGCCTTTTGCCCATGGTTCTGATGGACCAGCTTGGCATTGAATATCATGGAATGTGTCCAATTGCAATGGGGGAGAGGTGAATCAAACACAATCAAACTGGAATTCTGTTCACCCCGATGTGGTTTCACCGGCCCTTCACTCGAGGCTGCACTACTGCATGGGTGGCCTAGCCATCAACGTTCGCACCGAGGTGCTTCAATGTTCAAAAGGGAACAGTGGGGGGCATCCCAAGAAACCGTGGAAGGTCCGCTTTGGTTACCCAGACGCGGACTGGCATAGGACTGCCGAGCAGGCCAGGGGTGGTGCCAGGGGTCAATGGGGCGGCATGTATGGCATACTACATGGAGCGTCTGGGGTATGATGTGATTCGGAAAGGGGCCTCAGGGCAGCCTCTAGTCACCAGAATAGGCCTTTCCAAGGCCCTTGGCTGGCCCATCCCTTGGAGTCCGTTCTGGGCTTCCAAAAGCGACCGATGGACCGATGTCCAAGGTTCGCCAGCCCCCCTCCACATGTAGTTCACCCAGCGGTTTAGAGGACCGACTCGGCTTTTTGGGGTCACGAAACGGAGCCTCATAATGTTTGGGCTGATGGCAAAGCTGTGCTGCTCGCATACTGAAGCATTTGAGCTACCCTATCATCATTTCGTCCCACCTATATGGGATATTATGGGATCTAATATGGGATCTCATCATCACGATGTTCCATGAACTGGATGCATGGTCGAGTCGAAGAGCTTGTCGAGTCGAGGAAGACTCCAGCTTTTTCGTTTTCACTGGGTTCGCTCCAGCAAGTTGGACTCGTTTAACACAGAACCAAAGGGAATTGTTAAGATTGGAATGCACTAAAACGTAGATTCAACAGGATTTAACAGCTGTAAAGTTGAACTTGTTTCAATCCTTGGCAGTCGACGTCCGTGAATCATATGTGGCTTTGTCCAAATCTGAGGTGAAAGACCAATGTATGCAGTGACCAGATTATATACTTGGGACAGAAAAAACACATTGACTCTTTGTCGCCATCCACCACCACTCGCCCCAAAAATCGCCACAACATTTATACAACAATCGCCACACGGGCCGTCAACGACTTTCTCCGCGGACCTGTTTGGACCAGGTGTTGCACAGCGATGGACAGCCCATACCCAACTTGTATGGCGCGGGCGAAGTCACCGGCGGAGTGCACGGCACCGAGTCACGATGGAAGTTCCGTCGCGGGTGAACGGTTCCGTTGGCCGAGCCCGAGACTCCACCGGCGAAACCGCTTTTTTTGGCCGTTCAGAGGGGTTTGGTGGTGTTGTGGCTTTGGTTTGGGGAGGCCCGGATTGTACGACATGGCTGGCAATGCAATAACGTTTGTTTTTTCAATGAGAGATATTATGAACGGTTGTAGGTTGCAATGGAAGCCAGCACTCACAACAGTCCATGCTCCACCAAAGATCACGAGTTGAAGGAATGTCCGAAGATGTCTTGTGAGATCATCATCCGCACCAATGATCACTCAAAAGGTTGTCACCTCGCAGCTATGTTAGACTTCAACTCAATCAAGTGGCCAATGTTCACTTGTTCTGAACATGAGTGCGTTTTCAATCCCGCAAGTTTTATCCCGTGGTTTCACCCTGTTGGCTGAGGCAACAATCGCTTGGGTGGCAACAGCTTGTTGGAATGCGCGGTCTTTGGTCGTATGGCAGGCGCCCAGGCCGCGGAGAAAGCCAAGGACGGCCCGTGGCGCAGCCGGGTGGTGCTGGTGCGACCAGGGTGGTGCGACCAGGAGCAGGAAGCAAGTGGGGGGTGACCAAGCAAAAACTAGGTGATGGTTTCGGATATGTTTGTGTTCAACCTTTACTATGGGATGATTGAACCCACTGACTCATATTGTTCAACTGGGTTGAAAGCACCAACCAGAAAAATAGGTACCTTTAGCTTCTTTCGCAAGTCCATGAGATCAACTATCCTCAAAGACTCAATGATCCCTATAGATCCACATACCTTCTCAGAAGGCGTCCTTGGACCCTCCTGGCGCCTACATAAATCGTCTCCTTCCTCACCGTACCGACCTGGTTCGGTGGGAGTGGATCCGGGATGTCATCGGTTGTGTTTGGGATTCACCAGACAAAAGACCTCACCGACCTGTCGGTCTTTTTATCCGAAAGCTTCCGAATTCCGGTGAGGACGGGAGATGTGACACGGAGCGTGGCAGCGCTGGTGGGGCATAGGAGAGACCAAAACAGAGGAGATCCAGGACCTGAAAACATTGCAGGATGTTCATCCAGAATCTAGTGAGCAACATCCAGACTGCCAGAGGTCTTTTGTTTATTAGGTCTTGGTCCAGCCCTGTCCAGACACAAGAACATCAATCCTCAGTGCCGGTCAACTTCAGTTGACCGCCAGATCCGAGCAATGGACCTGTTTAGGTGGGTCTTTTAGTCTTATGCGCGGCATGCACAGACGGGACACAGGTCCCGGCACCTCCATCGCCGCTAAAAACACCACAAACCCGGGCACCGGGCATGGCAAAGTCCATGGAACGACCCAAATGGGGGACACCTCCCGGCGCGGCGCAAGCGCGAAGATCGGAACATCGATGCGGAAGGAGGGATCGGTTTTGGGAAATGAAAACTGACATTTGCTGCAAAGAGCATGTCAGTTTGTCAAGAAATATTTATATTTTAGCGTATTGAATCAAAGAGTCTGACCAACATAGTTCGAGTTCATATGTGTGCACTTTGTTCTCTTGTTTCGTGATTTGCCGCTATGCGGCATAAGCGTTTATCATCTTGAAGTGTTTGACGGGGACAAGATGGGAAAAGTAAGGATTTTTCTGACTAATCCCTTGTAAACCACCTTGAGCCGCAATGAAACTACCTCCGTTTCGAAGGTGGTTGGGGTGGGTTTGGGAAGTCCAACTACCTTTTGAGGATGTGGTTGCAGCACTAGGGCCTAGGGATAGCTTCTTTGAGTTTTTTCAATCACCCATGATTTCTAGGTCGCACATTGGGCCCAAGATGTTTCCAGTCAATGGTAGGCTCTCTTGTTCCCAAGTTCAATTCAAGAACAGATCCTCTTCCATCGAATGACTGGTTGAAGAGAAACAGTATTCTTTTGGGATAGAACAGATTGCCCAAAGGATGTCTCTCCACCGAATCATCCTGCATAAAACGACCACCCGTGAATTCCACGACCACCGATTCGTTCGAACACCATCGGAGGGTCCGTCGTCCTCGTCGACGTCTTCGCCGCATGGCGTTCCCTTAAACTTTAACACGGGCGGGAAGTCTTCACAGTATGCAGTTCAAAAGGACGGTGTGACCTTAGAGCACTGATTTATATAGATGAGTGGTGCTTTCATGATCTGAAGCGAAACAGGAGAGGAGCACAGGCTAATCATGCTATAGTTTGTGGGGAAGCCAGTGTTTTTGGGCGCTTCCTTCCCTCAGTCATGGTACTTGCACTCCAAAATGAGACATGATGGAGAGGATGGCAACAAAAATACTCAGAATGAATGTGACATTCGTTGGTGCCCAGAAGGTATTTTTTGTTGGTGCCCGTGAACAACTCTGCCTTCTGCAATTCTGATGGCATCGGCATTTCTGATGGCATCGTCCAAAAGACCTGCTGGCGATCTCTGAATTTCCTTTTCAGTTGGACCTCCTGGGATCCTCCCGTTTCGGCAACCTAGGGGATGGTAGGGGGCGCCCAACTGTCCTGTGGCGCCGGTACGAAACAGGAGCCCGATCTCCAAAACCACCGGCAGTCCACAAAGGGTGGCGCAGTCGTCTGTCGTCTTCAACCAAAATCTCCTCTCTCTCTCAGGTTGATGGTCGATCCAGCGCTGCGTGCATTGATGGGCGAACGCTCCGATCGCGTGCAGAAGACCGGTCGGAGGCAGTGAAGACGAAGTGAATTTGAGGCGTGGAGGCGTGGAGTGATGTGATTTCGTTCAGTGAAGGACTGGGGTCTACGTCTACAATGGTTCTACTCACCCACCGAATTGTTCGGTTTGATCCTTTTCTCTCGCACACTGCACCATGTGGCACGACATCGGACACCGACGGACGTGAAGGGAACTGGTTCACCCTAAACCTGAAAACAGTGATTTTGAGATTACAGATGCACTAGATTCACTAGATAAAATAAGAGCTATATATAAATTAACTAATTCCTGAAATTAGATCCTATGTTTTTGTTTGATAATATAATTCAAATATTATGTGGGTTCTTCCTTGTCACTGTTTATCTTCATGAAGTAATTTATGTTTTACTAATCATTGAAGGTTTCTAATCCCAGAAAAAGGACCACCAGATTGATTTGATAAACAAATGTTTAAAGTAATAAATGACTAGCATACACATAAATGGTGTTGTCGCTGGTACAAAGTAAAGTTAACAGATTTGTGAACTAACAAACAATATAGTCATAGATTTAGGAATGACAGACACTAGAAAGACACATAAGAATATAAATAGGATGATCATGATCTTAACAAATATACTGATGTCTTAAAGGCTGTAGATACAAATTAGAGAAGAGATTTAATAATACCACAACTTAATAATTTAACATATATTTCTTTATTGGCTTTTAAATGACATCGTGGATGAAAGAGAATATATGATCGCCGGGAAGAAGGAAGCTGAAAACATGTAAGCCTACGTGTTTCATCTCATGCATACACGCTTATGCTTATAAGCTTATATACAATAGTGAGGTTGCATTCGGACGTCATGTTCGATACTCCTTATATACCAGGAAAAATGTAAGTCACATTTGTCATTGCGGATGGTGATTGAATATGCAGTCAGATGCAGACTACTTCACACTCAGTCAATGTAGCTGATGCCCTTGTGGGCTCAACCTGACAGCTGATAAGCATTTAGCAGGCCTGCAATGAACACATGAGGCAAATAATGTGTTTGTCATCACCATCACCATCCATGTGAGCTACGGTCAAATCATGCGAAGACCACTTTAGTAAAGAGGGGTAGGTTTGTGCGCAAAACGATAAGGTCCACCTCAAAACCTATAACCCCAGCTCTGTATATATGATATTATATGGTCATAAGTAACGAAGCCAGCCAGATGCTCCGGGGCAACTGGCGCGAACCCCCACATCCACTCCTTGTTTTTCTCATGTTATTGTTCTTTATATTTCTTGTTTTCTTGAAGACAAACATTTGTCAGCGCTGCGCATGTTAAAAACAAGTTCAAATGCAAAGAAAACAATCAAGAAATAACTACACGACTCTAAGACAGGAAATGTTTACAGTCACACGTTCTGCAGGTTGATGCCGGCTTTCATTTACGTGATCCCCAACCGCCCTTGGCAGATGCGATGGTTTGCAAGATTCTAAACTTGGAGGACAGTCATCGCTTGTGTGGATACAGTGATAGCATTCATCAGAGTTCGTCAAGAAGGTGCACTTGAGCGTCAAACGTGACCCATGTTCTTCAGTGTGGAGAGTCTTTCTCATACATACCTTTTTGGGAATCTTTAGGCTTGAAAGTGTGAGTTTGAAACTTAAGGACATGGTCTTAGCAGCTGTGCCCGAAGACAAAGTGCCTTGGTGAATGCATGTGGAGTCAGTCCAGCAGGTTCATCGAGGGCTAAGGCAGTCCAGCGGGGGTGGCCTGGCCACGGGAAAATCATTGG